TAAACAAGCGTCTTTAGTTTGGCTCCTTTTTGGTTGATTTTTTTGTATGCCTCTTGTATAAAAGAGCGTCAACTGGAAAAAGGGGTCACTGCCATGAGGGACAATGTAAATAAAAGGTTTAGAGCAAGTGAGATCATGCTATGATGGAACCTACCTGGGATTTATTATCCTATGAGTGACAAAATGTAGTAGGGTCAGAAGGTTGTCTCATGAGAATAGTTGAGATATCATAACTTGGCGTGACCGAGTACTCATTAAGGACCATGTAATAATGAACAGCTAAAGGGAATGCTTTCAAGCCATGATGGCCACCTACCTAAAATTTCATATGCTACAAATTACCCGAACAACCAAATGTAGTAAGGTCAAGTGGTTGTCTGGTGAGAAACTGGCCCGAACACTCATGAATATAAAAAATATACTGTTCCAAGTCTAAATTAGGCTGCTGTTTTTCTTATTAATTTCTAGAGAATTACATATCCCTTAAAATCTAAATCACTACATATTCTAAATGATCTAAATAATCTAAATACGCTAGATACTAGTTAAAAGTAAATCTAAATAATAATCCCTTGATACTAGGCAACTAGATCTAAATAATAATCCCTATGATAAATTAGGGAGGTCAACTACTTCCCTTATTTAATGGAATTACACAAATATCCTTCGACACTCCTCCTCACTCAGTAATAGGCATCGTTTAATCTTAGCTTGGATACTAACTCATGAATTATACAAATATCTCCTAACTGAAGGCTAATCTTTCGACAAATACTTTTTACTTTCTTTATTTTGATGTAAATTTCAATAATGCTTCTAAATTTTGAAAAGCTTCATTTTAATTCTTGAACTTTGAAATTGTTGTAGGAAAAAAATTAAGAGGTTTTTCGTTAATATGATTATTAAAAATGGACATCATGGATGCTGATACATGACATCATTTATGATATTCATGCAAATTGACGTGGTAGCCGATGTGTAGAATTGATTATTTGAATGATGTTTTTCTTGCAAGTCTAAATTGTCTTGCTACACTTATTATTTCAGAGAGGTACATGTCCTTCTATAATACAAAAAGCTAACTAAATCTCTAGATTCTAGGTACAATATTTAAATAAATCCCTAGATATTACTTCTCTCATAAATATTTCTTAAATCAAGGTCATTCCTTCAACCGTTGTAAATGATGTCAAGATAATTTTGAGTTGAAATGGATGGTACAATCATTTTACTATTCATTGCAATTGAATTGTAAATGATGTCAAATATGACTCCCAACTTTTACCTATCGACAGTCATGTTAAATTCCAACTATCAGTTTTTAAAAAAAGTTCTCCCACATATTTTCCAGAACTATTATACAGTTCATGGGATAAAATGAATATTTTCAAAATTATAGAAACTTGCCTTGAACTTCAGGGATATATATATATATATATATATATATATATATATACATATATATATATTTAATTTAGTTTAAAATAAATTGCATTGAGTGCGTTAATTGGATGCATTTTTTTCTCCTTTTCTGCTTGGAGCAAGGATGGCCCTATTAAAAATTGATTGAATTTATTTGATTGAAATTGCAGTTGTATCAAGGCTGGCAATCGATATGGAGTTGTTTGATGCATGGACTGCCCATGTTTAGTCATGTGTTTGTGGTGGTAAGTTCATGTTTTTTGTTGTAGCTTTTGAAGAGGAAACGATATATTTAATAGCTACTCTGTAAAGGATATCATAGACAATTGGTTTTTGTTTTTGTGTTTGTTTTATTTATGGAAAGTTTGTTATGCAATGAGGGTATCTGCTTTATGCTTCTAATTGATGCTTTTCCTTAGGAGTTTGTAACGTCCTCGCCATCCATCAATTAAAAGTTTGTTTCTTGTTAAAAAAGCTTGTTTCTTTTATATACAAATGAACTCAATGATAGTGAAAAGCCGAAGGAGTTGCAACAAAAGATCTCTAATTGGTCAGTATTGAAAATGGAGAGTAACTATAAAATATTTTCTATTTAAGACATCAAGATGAGGAAATAAGTGATAGAACCTCCCAAATCTGACGTAGGCCTTTCCTCCTAATATGTTTGCAAAGATTCGATTTTGAGCCAATCTTCTTGGAACAATGCACAAAAATTGTTTACTTGTAGTTGCTTTCAAATATCTTTTAAGGTTTGACAAAAAGAACGTTGCATCATAAAATGGATTATAAGGAGTCTAGGACATTGCACCTAAGCTAAAATGCCCCTTATGAGTCTCTAGACGGAACAATAAGAGGTCTCTCTTCTCAGAGACAACACTGTTGAGGATTGAGGTATTCTCTGGGGTTTCTTTTCTGAACTCAATCATTGTTAAGGTCACTCAAGTTTAGAGACCACCGAAAGGTTTTGCAACTTCAAGGAACCTTCAAGCTCCGTAACTTCTTGCAGAATGCTGGAATAAGTCTGCTTGAGCCTGTTGCACAGAATTTAATAAAAACCATAGCCCCTTCTAAGCACCAACTTCTTGAACCAGTCCCTAAGAGAGGTTTTGACGATCTAAGAAACGCATAAGGTGCTACCATTTAGCCACCTCTCGATCATAAATAAGGCTCTCTAAAACCAATAGTCCAGCTGCTACTTACATTAGGCTGTTCATGACCTTTTTAACTTAGAGAAGTTTATTGGAGAATAACATGAAGAGCCTTAAAAGATTTTGTATAAAGTGGGAATTATTATTTATTTATTTATTTTTGATAAGAGACCGTTTCATTGATGATTGAAATTTATATAAGGGATGTAATATCCATTATGATTACAAAAAATCTTCCCAATTTACAACGAGGGAGGTACAACTGTACGAAGTAAAAATATTAGACAGCTTACACCAAAATATAGCTTGGTAAACAATATTGTCGAAGAGTATTAAATTTGTGTCATATGGTCAGAAGAAAGTATAGGGTCTATCTCCGATGTTAATCTCAGTGAAGCCAGTTAAGATGTCCTTTACCTCAATAATACTAACACATTGCTCCTAGAACTACTGTAGCGACGTTTCTTAGGCAGCCCACCTGTGGTGAGTTTTTCATGTTTAAGCATCATAATTTCTTTTCATGTTTGAGCATCATAATTTCTTTCAGAAAGAATCAGGATCAAAAGATGCCTCGACCACTTTGCAAGATGGGGCTCCTTCCTCTCTTTGGTCCTGTTCATGCAAGCGCTCCCTGAAGCAAGAAATTTTTTTAGTTTTCCTATGTTATCTTCTTTCTGAATTGGCTTCTTCCAATAGAAAGTTTCTTATACATATATCAATTTTAGACTCAACCATCTTTGGAACAGGGAAGATGGAGAGATAATAAATTGGCAGGCAAGCAGGATCAAAGGGAGGCAGTCTCCTTCTGAGATAGGGTCAGATCTCTACTTTTGTAACATAGCATTTTCTGCACCATGAGGTTTCATTATAACATAGATTCAAGCAAAACCTCAAAGGGCCAGATGGAATTTACTGGTAGACCATTGGAAAAGAGCTTATATTGAATCTTGATACCTTTGCAGCTCTAGAATGTTCCTTATTGTTGGTGTCAATGTCATTCATGACCCTCTGAGATTAAATAAACTTAGGACGTTACCTACTCCAAACTGCCATTGAAATATAAATTTACTAAATACTGGCTGACTGACCTACTGTACCAGTACTGAGTTCGTAATTATGATCTGAGTCAAATTTTTCCAATTGGGATCCGTTTTTGTAACTCCCAAGGTCTTGCCTCTTGGGGTTTTCTCATCTCCTTTTGTGCATCTTCTCTTTGATTAATGAATATGTCTTGTTTCTTATATAAAATAACCTACTCTACCAAGTTACCTACTAAAGCATCTGACTTATATGTCCTTCTGCTAAAACCAACTTCCTGCAATTATATGTTGCTGAGTGCTGACTATATAATGGATATTTATTTTTTTTCTTACAAATGAGTAAGTGTTTGTTAGATCACCATAGTTATTTTGAAGTCATCTCAGGAGTGTGGACTTATCTCTTGTTACTTATAGACATACATTTTAATGCTATGCTATAATGAAGTTTATTGTATTTGAGAATCAATGCAGGCGGATGCTGCTCTGTTGCTTCTTGGAAAAATAATTGAACGAGTGAGTTCATATTTCCCAATGACTTTACTTTCTTGTTCTTTCTGTTGAGTAGTTAGAGTGAATCTTTCTACTGTATTGTTAACTTCCTAGAACTTTTTTTTGTTGGCTCAAGTCTCTCATGTAGTCCAATGAGAAGAAGTTTCACTTCTCTTAAAAAACAAGTCCCTCATGTAGTCCAATGAGAAGAAGTTTCACTTCTCTTAAAAAACAAGTCCCTCATGTAGTCCAATGAGAAGAAGTTTCACTTCTCTTAAAAAACAAGTCCCTCATGTAGTCCAATGAGAAGAAGTTTCATTTCTCTTAAAAAACAAGTCCCTCATGTAGCAGTTTCTTTGTTCAGGATTTATTGAAGACATGTGTGATTCCTCAAGATGTTTGGGAACATTTATTTTTCAAACGGATGCCATCGATGTAAGTTCTTATTTTCAACCTTTTTTTAGTTTGATTGAAACCTTTTTAATCCTCTATCATTTCCACTTCTTTTTTTCCCTTTAAATTATCATTATTAAAAAAAAAGAAGTTAATTTCTTGTTTAAAAAAGCAAAGAAAAAACAAGAAACACAATCTTGTGATTGAAACAGGAAAAATGCTTAGAAAATATTGTTCTCCTTAGGGATAAGTTATCCAAATGGAGAAATTCTTGAGGGATTTTGCATTATCTAAAGGAGGGAGAGTTACCTGGATTCTTTTGGTGTTGGCAGCTATTACGTTATATTTCATGTCCATTGTCCAAATGCCAAGAAAATTGGCAATTAGAATAGAGAAATATATGGAATAATGCTTTAGATGGAAAACATGACCTGAAACTAAATCATTTTTTGAGCTGGTGTATTATGTGCAAAAGATGTGTCGAGAACCATTCATTTATTTGTCCATTGCCCCTTTAGATACGTTAGAACTTTGTACGCAGCTTTCCCGATTTGAGAATATGTGGCTGAACCATTCTGAAGTTTTGCCAATGGTAGAATATTGGTTGAAGAATACACCCCTCCGTGGATGGCCGGGGCACGGTTTCATCAACAAACTTAAAGGGTTCCTCGGGGAGTTGGCCTAGCAGAAAGAATTAATTAGAGGAGGTTGGTTTCAATTCATCCTTTCTAGAGAATTAGATGGTCTTACAAGCCCTTTCCTTAAAAGTCTATCCTCTGTCTATTTTGAGGGATAAAAGTGTATCTTTACCCTATTTTTAGGGATCAAAGTGTATCTTTACCCTATTTTTGGGGATGAAAAGCTATCCTCTCCCTATTTTTTGGGATCCCGGGAAAAAGCTAGCATGATTGTAGCAATCCCCGAAGCAAGGAAATCAGTCTAAGCCAAAGAGAACCCCTGCCCCGGAACCTCTAGAAGTGTCTTCGCCGGATCTCTTTCCGGCATCCCAGAGGAAATCATCTGAGAAAGCTGGGCTAGAAAGACTAAAAGAAGTCTTAAAGAAATGGAACAAGGAGGTTTTCGGTTGTATTTCCACAAAAAGAAACCAACTACTAACTCAAATTGCTCTCCTTTGATCAGATGGAGGAAACTAACTCCATCCCTCTAGTTCAACACACACAGAAAAAGCTCATGAAAGCAGAACTTATTTCAAAAGAACTGTCCCTACATCATTATGAATTTGAGCTGCAATGTTTTGTAGTGAGAATGGGGAAGCATCAGTGGCATCTACATTTTCATCCTTTTGGAATGAATTCAAACTTTTGTTTTCATCATTGACCACATGGTTCCATGATTTTATCTCGTCAAGTTTCTAGAATGAAATGATTTCGAAGTCTAAAAATGTTTATTTTCTGGAAAGTTAAGCTAGTATGTACTACACGCATTTGACTGAAATGAGGGGCAAAATTTGGTGCCTGAGAGATGCGTTTTCATAATTCCAGTTGAGCTTTGCATGTTAACAATGTTATTCTAATTACATGGTTATGATGCCATCTAGAGGACTTGAGACTTGAGACTTCGTGCTTGTCATATTTCATAGGATTTTGGGTAGAATATCACCTAATTTTATGTGGTATGGTTGTCTTGCAGATCTGCTTTGTACCTAATATCCTGTTACTTCTCGAGAAAAGGGTCTCAAGTAAGTTGCTTCAGCGGGAATGTCTGTCTCTGCGCATGTCATCTTGATTGCTATTTACCTTGCAATGCTCAGACTGCCAATTTGTCATTTGTCCAGTAGCTGTTATTGCTCTATCCTTGAGTTTGCAATATATTTCGGTTTCCTGGGGAGTATATATAATTTATAAGAAGTTAGATCTATCTACCAGATGGACAAATAAGTTAATTACTTCTCTGTCTAAAAGTGGCCTCCTAAGCCTTGGGGCTAGGAATTGACAGAAGTCACCTTTGCAATCATTTTAACGACATATCATAATTCAGAAGTCAATCAAGATCATGGGGAGATCTCTTAGCACAATATGCTTAGACATAACCCTGAGCAATTACTAAGAAAAATCCTGATCTTTCACAGTTCGTTTAGCATAATTTCTCTTTTCTTGAAGTTCTTTTATTTCTATTTCATCTTAATATTAAGTTACCCATTTTGAGATATACCATGTTGCGCTGGTGGGAGTTTGATATTACATGTGACTATGAGATTCAATTGAGGAATGAACTCCTGACTCATGCAATTTTCTTTTATGTATTATTTTCATTCAGGGTGACCTTCGAGACATTTTCCATCTTAGAAAAAATCTTCTGAGAGCAGTTCTAGGTCATCTTAACTTGAAGGTTTATTCCTTCTCCTCTCTGATTTTTTAATTCTTTTTTCTTTTCTTTTTTTTGTTTGTTGTTGAATCATTAAATATGTAGCGGCTAATCTTCTAATAGTTCAAACGTGAAAACTTAAAACATCGTTTCAATTTAAAGAGTGCAGTATAAAGACTTTCCAGTTTTGCTAGAGAATGAAAATGATATGAACATCAAATGGATTATCATCTGTACTATTTATGAAATGGTTAAAAGGTTTTTTTTTGGAAACTGTGAGAACTCCGATTCAAGGGAGTTACAAAAAACCTCCCCAAATGGATAGTAAAAGGAAAAGCTAGAGTGACGAAGGAGGAGTGAACATTTGCACCTGGAAGAAAAAACAATAGTAAAGAAATGAGTGATTGATGATTCCATGCCCCAAAAAATCAGCTGAGAGAGTAGATCGTGTGGGCCACTTGGGAGGGCAGTCTCCATCCGAATGTTGCAAAAATCTGCTGCAAAATCACAAGATAGGAAAATGTGGCTTTGGGATTCAGGTTGTGTTTACATACGTTGCACTAATGGGGAGATAATCCACATACAGTATCCTAATTTGAGGCTTGTTGCAAGTGTTAAAGGCCTGGTGACTGAGTTCCCATATGAAGAACCTTACCTTATTTTGATATATGATCTTTCCATGTGGCATAAAGGTTGGCCGCATGCTTGTCCTTGTTAAAGTTCAAAATTTCTTTCTTATAAGAAATGGGCAGTCAAATGGTAACTTCAAAGCAACTGGGGGATTATATAAAGAGAGATACTGTCTGTATATTAATTCAATGAGGTTAGTGCAGTGAGTTAATTGTTGTCAATATCCTTGTAATTTTCTCAATTTTAAATTTAAAGCAGTAGCCATATTAGTACTGACCCCAAACTTTTGATTTTTCCTTGAAATTTGTCTGTTGGCATTTGCATAAAATAACCTTGAGCCTTCTATGAGTCCACATTTCAGACCAAAATTCTTGAAGTTGATCCTGATTCTATAAGTTATATACGTTAAACCTGCTTACTTTTGGAAGTTAATAGTACATTTAGTTAGATATTTTCAATAAATGGATTTTCATTGCTTATTTAAGGTCTATTTACATTTTTATATCTCTCCTCTCTTGTAAAACTTGCCCCCATGTGGCACACAAAGAAGCTCACAATGTTGGATTCATTGTAACCGTCTTCTTAGCTATACAGATCATTAACTTGGTAGGGACATTGTGAATGGTGCACTGACTACTGCTGCTGACTTTATGTAGGAGGTTGCTAATTCGAACGAGCAGTTGATATTCTTGTTGCCTGCAGCTGTTCATGCTCTTTGTGCGGGTTGTGCTCCCTCAGGAGATGTTACAAGGGTTCTAGATGAATGTTTGAAGAAAGATGTGGTTTGTTAATAGTACATTTCCACTATAAATAAAATATAGATGGGAGGTTTTTCATGGTAATTGCAAATTGATTATACTTGCAGAAAGAAGAATCTTATCAGGATTGGTCGCAAGAAGTTTTTGAGTGTTCTGTGGAAGTTGTGGCCAAAATACATCTTGGTTCTAGCGTCAAGGTGGCCTTTTATTGTATGTCCTGTTTCAGAATTGACACCTATGTTGTTTCTCACTTTGTCTATAATTGTTGGTTTAGATATGCCAATCTCGAGGCCTTAAGGCTATTCATCTGCCTCGTCAGATCAGAGATCCATTGCTGGATGAAATGGTGACTTCTGTACTTGGAGCATTGATTGATGTGGAGAGAGAAAAATTGCTGCCGTCTACTATCTTCATTTTATGTGATTTATTGGCAAACTTCATATACGGTTCAACTTTGATAAGGTTTTCATCATCTTTTATGTCCAATTTTAAGTTTTGCACTTTGGGTCTTCTAACTTTAGAATGTCAGAATATACTTTTTCTTTTTCCTGGTTGCCAACCTGAATATACTTTTTCTTTTTCCTGGTTGCCAATCTTTGGGAGTACATTTTTCAAGCTCATGGATTTGATACTTCGTATGTGCACTATATGCTGACTTTTTTAAAAAAAAAGATTTTTTCATCATTGACCCTTCTTGAACTGTAATCTGTCGTGACGAAAGTTGTGGTTATCATTTTTATCTGAACCGTAGTATGCTTCTTCTCATTTTGTTGATTTTCATGGGTGTCGATACTCTACTTTTTCAACAGCTGGTATTGGTCTTATCTTCCTACTCTTAGGGAAGGGATTTTTTTGTTTGTTGGTTTGTTTCTTTGTTTAAAAAGGAACACAAAGTTTTCATTAATATTTGAAAGTTATATTTTGAGAAGAGAAACAAATTTCATTTAGAAGGCTCCCAACATTGAGAGACGAATTATAAAATAGCTCTTCGGTTAGAGATCAAAGAAGATAGATTGTTGTAACCTCAAAAATGTTGAAGGTATGACCTTGATGCAAGGAATATTTGTGTAATTCCTTTAGGAGAGATTCATGGAATCCTATTAAATAATGGAAGTTGTTGATCTCCTAATTTACCAAGTATCTAGGGGTTTAGTTTGTACCTCTTTGAAATAAATATCAAAAGCAGCCATATAATTTTGACTTGCAAGAAAAAAGATGTGTAATCTTGCACCAATTCAATGCATGGATAAAATTAATCCAAAGGTAAAGAAATAAAGTATCTGTTATCCCCTCACACCAGAGTTACCTCTCACACCAGAATTACCAGAAGAAAACCGGGTTGATAGAGAGACAGAAATTCATTTTCCTACTTTGGAACAGATGATCCACATATATAGAAGCAAGGAAATCAAATATGTCATTTGGTAAAAACCATGGACCAACCAAAAGCATCAAACACTGTTGGAATATATGAAAAGTTGCACCAGTAAATAAAGCAAAAAAATCAGTAGTACAAGTGATAGAACATACTAATACATTTTCATGAAACTACCAAGATAAGCTATGAAAAAGACCTACCAATTGCAATGTTTTGGTTATAGTTTTTGTATTCATTATAGCACTATTGTTTCTTATAAAAAGAGAAAAAAAGTGTTACTATCAAACTTGCGTGTGTTGTTGAACTATACTTTTTGTGCCAACTTCATGCTTGTGTTGACAAATAGATTAAAGTATCCTGTTAATTTTAACTTGGGACCTTTAATGTGTTTTTGAAATGTGAAAAAGAAATTCCTTTGACTTTCTTGGGCAGCATTTTCTCGTGCTCCTTATTCAGCTATACTCTTTTTACGTGTATTTTACATGTTTCAACAGGCAAAGGGAGCAAATGCCTCTGTTCATTTCCAGATTGGGTCAGTACATTTTAGAAATGACGAATCATGCTGTTAATGTTATCCAAGGGTACTGCAGGGATTTTAAACATCTCAATCTCTTTGGCTCTGATTCCTTCCTTGACATAACGAGTTTTGCTGTCACATGCTTCAGAAGTTTTGCTTCTAGTTCCATTTTCAACACGGGAACAAGTAGTAATTCTCTGGATATTGATCTACATGGTGCATTGATTCTTTCGATGGAAAATCTTTTGAAAGCACTTTCTGAACTCTATCAAGAATATTCTATATCCATTAAGAATCTTCATTCCGGGGAAATCTTGAAAGATTTTGATGCACCTGCTTCTCCTTTGGGGAATTCTCCCCCCGTTGATGCTGAAGTGAGTAGGATTTTGGATATAGAATTGGATGTGAATGATGACTCCAATGACATAGATGTTCTGGCTGTTAAAAGGAGTATGGCCCCTGGCATGTCGTCAACAACAATTTGGAAGTCG